ACCAAGGTATAAACATAATCCTTGGTGATGAATAGGGTTGAGGCTAGATAGAGTAGCAGGAGAGGCAGCTGAATAGATCTGGTCACCATAATCAAGTTTTAATAAAATGAGGGTGGAATGTAGGCGAAGGAGAGTTCGACGATCAGCTCCCCATGACAGATGAGCAAGGGTTTTAAGAAGGTTCAGCCGGCTGTGACAAGTTGTCTTCAGAGAGGTAATGTGAGGTTTCTAGGATAACCTACGGTCAAAGAGGAGGCCTAGAAACCTGACTGTATCACGTTCAGGGATATGGGAGCCATAGAGGTACAAAGGATGATCGGAGATGACAGAGCGTCTAGTGAAAGTAATTTGGTGAGTTTTGGTACTGGAAAATTTAAACCCATGTGTGGTGGCCCAATTGGAAACACGGTCGACCGCATGCTAGAGAGAAACTGTAATGAGGTGACAGTCAGCGCCTGCACATGCAATAGCGAAGTCATCAACATAGAGTGATGACCAAATATTGGATGGAAGACTAGAGGCCAAATCATTTATAGCAAGGAGAAAAAGTGTTGTGCTCAGAACACATCCCTGGGGGACACCTTCAGCTTGGATGAAGTCCGGGGAGTGCACATTATTAACCCGAACACAGAAATGTCTGTCAGTTAAAAAGTTCTTAAGGAAGAATGGTAGATTGCCTCGAAGGCCTAAGGAGTGGGCTTGGGCCAAAATATTACACCTCCAAGTTGTGTCACATGCCTTCTCAAGGTCAAAAACTATGGCAATAACTGAGTGGTTATTCACAAAGGCATTACGAACACACGTATCCAAGCGTAGTAAGGGGTCTATGGTAGAACGGCCCTTACGAAAGCCATATTGACGAGTGGAGAGACTGTTGTGTGTCTCTAAATACCACACTAAATATCTATTTACCAGGCATTCCATCACTTTGCAAACTGCATTGGTAAGAGCAATGGGACGATAGTGGGAGGCTTCATGTCCCGTAGTACCCGGTTTGCGGAAAGGGAGAACAATGGCAGATTTCCACAGCTGTGGAAGAACTCCTTGTGAACAAATAAGATTGAAAAGGTGTAATAGGACTGCAAGGGCTGACTGATGTAAATGTTGTAGCATACGAATATGAATGTCGTCGGGCCCAGCTGCCGATGATCGGCAAGCTGAGAGTGTTGCCTCCAGTTCCTGAAGTGTAAAAGGCGCATTATACTGTTCTTCTCTGAGAGAAGAAAAGTCCAAGGGTGCTAACTCTCTGGCAGACTTTGAGGAAAGAAACGAGGGGCATAGATGGAGCCCCTGAGAAATACGGACCAGATGATTGCCAATTTCATTGGCAACATCTAGTGGGTTTGCTATATCAACACCGGCAACCCACAGAACAGGAGCCGGGTCAGGAGAATATTTACCAATCAGTTTTTGTACTTTTTTCCAGACTGCACTCAGAGGAAGCAGAGGTGATGGTGGAGACATAATCTCGCCAGCAAGTGCGTTTAGCGTCACGGATGACACGGCGAGTGATTGCACGCTTCTGCTTAAAATCAAGAAGTCTCTCCATGGTTCTACTGTACCGGTACCTGCCCCACGCAGAGCGTTTCAAACATACTGCATGAGCACAAGCAGGAGACCACCAAGGCACGCATTTCTGAGAATGCCTGCTCGAAGTTTGGGGTATAGAATGAAAAGCTGCGGTTAAAATGGAGGACAACAAGAGGTGTAAAAGCTCATCTATGGTGGACGAAGAAGGAACCTCACTAAAAACAGTTAGTTGTGAGTAAAGGTTCCAATTTGCCTGATCAAATTACCAGCGTGGGTTACGAAGAGGTGGTGAATATGAAGGGGAAGTAAGAATGACTGGGAAATGATCGCTGTCATGTAAATCCGGGAGAACAGACCAGGTGAAGTCTAATGCGGCGGAGGAAGAGCAGACTGAGAGATCAATGCAAGAGAGAGTATGAGTCCGAGGATCAAAATGGTTGTGAGTACCTCTATTTAAAACATGGAGGGGGTGAGTAGCAAGAAAAGCTTCTAACTGAATGCCACGGGAATCACAGTGAGACCCCCCAGAGGAAATGATGGGCATTAAAATCGCCTAGTAACAGAAGTGGTGGCAGTAATGACGAAACGAGAAAGGCAATATCCGGGATAGATAATGCCCGAGAAGGAGAGAGATACAAAGAACAGAGTGAATACCACCTATGCAAGTGGATATGGGCTGCTGTGTAATGCAGCGAAGTACAAACAAATAGCTGATGGTACGGAATATCAGTGCGTAGAAGAAGGGCACTTTCATTAAAGGTCCCATCAGGAAAAGGATGTGAATACAATAAATTATAGCCTGAGATGGGATAGATAACAGCAGAGAGTAATTTTGGTTCCTGTAAGCAAACACCAACAGGGGAAAACTGGGAGAGCAACATCTGAAGCTCACCCCGATTACCCCTGAGGCCGCGAATATTCCACTGTAAATAGGCCATGATTGACAACGATAAAGATACTTGAAAGCCGCAGGTATGGGTACCTACGGACTAGAAAAGTCCACATGTAGTGGCAAAGGAAAACGTTCAAGTAGCGAAGGAACGGTGCGTTGTGAAGAAAGGAGTTGCGCAGATGGAGAAGAGGAAAGAGAAGGAACAGAGGGTGGATCAGTGTCCATTGATGGTTTGGTCTCTGCAATATATTCAGAGATTGCTTCAAGTGTTTCGGAGTTCAGAGACATCGTATTGGGAGACAATATTGGAGATGGAAGGAGGAGGAGTTTGAGTAAAGATCGGAGCTGTAATGGACTGTACTAAGGTAGGGGGGGGGGGCGAAAGGGTGGAGGGAACTGGAGAAGTGTGGGAGGGGACAGAAGAGGCAGAAACCTGGGAGGTGGCAGAAGAGGAAGAAACTTGGGAGGGGACAGGGGAGGAAGGCACAGTACGAGGGGGAGGATGAACCTCCACACTTGTAACAGAGCCAGTGAAAGGGGAAGACCCAGGTACAGAGACCGGGAAGGTAAAATGTGGAGGCGGATGAAGGGAAGGAGGGGTTAAAAGAGATTTTTTGGACCTCTGAGAAGTAGAGGGACAATTGGGAGGAGGTGTCATACGAGGTCTTGTCGATACCTGGGTTTGTGAGGGAGAACACGAAGAAGTGAGGACAGACTGAGGAGTTGAAGTAGGGACGTCTGAGCCCAGGACAGCAAGAGAATTAGATACAGGAGTGACTATGGGCCTGGCAACCGCAGAGGAGGCTGCAGAAGATGTGACCCCAGAAGTGGGGGGACGCTTTGAAACACGAGAATAAGAAACACGGGGCAGTCTCCCTTGGAGGCGGAGATGAGAAACCGCCATAGGATAAGGGATGAGGCAAGGTAAGAACGGAGTGCGGTAACAATAAGGGGCCTGGGGGTAGCGGGTCATGGATTAGGTACTTCATGGTTAGGTTACTTCTTTCTTGTTGTTTTTAAGAAAAAAAAAAGAAAGAAGAAAAGAAAATAAAAATACAAAAAAAAGAATAAAAAAAAGGGGGGACCAGGGAGGGATAGTTCCTAGGAGGAATGAAAGGGCCAGAAATCTCCCTCCGCGCCAAAGAGGACCTCAGCACCGCAAGTAGTGCAGATGCAGCATGGAACCCGTGCCATACTCTACCCATCATGCCAGTAAACCAGCAATCCGGGATAGCAACCTCACATCTGCCTAGCTACCTCGGTGGACAAAAGAGAGGGCGGCCGGACATCCGCCACAAAGCATATCTCCTTCGGCCACCACTCCTGGAATCTGAAAGGTGGCTTCCAGAGATACACCTGTCGCCCGAAAGACACCCAAAGCCACCCTCCGGGATACCGGAGAGGGATCAGGACATCCCCAGTTGATCCAGATTCCACAGCAAACTACGCCACCGCCAAGAACCTCAACAGAATGGGATGGGCCCCAGTACCCTTTCCCCTACCTAGGAACTAGCACACCTGTGGGAAAAAAATCCCAAAGGCCAAAAAGGAAGGGCAAAAAGGAGGGGTGGGGAGGAGGAGGAGGAGGAAAGGGAAAAGGGGAGGATGGGATAGGGAAGGGGGGATTGGGGGGTAATTAGGTTCGGTCTGAGGAAGGAGACCGACAGGTCTAATTCCTCAGACCAAGAGCCTCTTCACCACTCCAAGGAGCCCCCCTTGTAGAGGTAAAGTGGGTGAAATCACTGATGTGTAAATATCGCTGTTGTATATTCTAACCTAACCACTCTATAATTCGGCAAAACCTCTAATCTGGCACCTTACAGGTCACAATGATGCCAGATTAGTGATGGTCAACCTGTACTACTATCCTGCCAAATAAGTGTAAAATGGAAACTTGTAATTGTTTTACACAATGGCAGGATTGATGGTGTCTTTTTGTGTTTAAACACATGCAAGATAATAGGTATATCTTGCTACTTTTACTTACACTTAGGTCACACTACATATGCATGTACACTTATATGCATACACACACACATCAAAGTTTTATTCTATTTTCTTAAAAGTTCTTATTTATTTCCTTTCATTTCCATGGGAAAGTAGAACAGAATTCTTCCTCTGCAAGCCACGAGTGTCGTAAGAGGCAACTAAAATGCTGGGAGCAAGGGACTAGTAACCCCTTCTCTGTGGAATACATCCAGTTCATTGAAAGAAAAATATTTATTTATTTTTAACTCAATAGTCATCTCCCACCAAGACAGAGGTGACCCAAAAAAAAAAGAGGAAACAAAGTTTTCTTCCTTTTCATTTAGTAATTTATACAGGAGAAGGGGTTACTACCCCATCCTCACACAAAGTAGCTTCCCATCTTTTAATGACAAATTTAATAAACACATCAACCACTACATGATGTTGATCTAATCTGTTTTCATTATTTACTAATCTCAATCATCCCACCTACTTTCTCTACTTTCTGCCATCTATGCTAGCTCTCAGTTCTTCCCACACTAACTAATCTTATTCCTCTTCTTTTCAGGTATGAAATTTTATCCTCAATATACACAACAGATTTTTTTACCTTCATTTTCTTTGCTTATCTCTTCAGTGCTCTTGGTCTTAAATTCATGAATTAATTGATCAAACTCCATACGTGATGATTCAGCAGCTTTTTTGGCAACGTCTGGTATTACAATAACATCACTGTAGTCGATACGGAACTTGGATAACAAGTTAGCCATACTGGAATAAAAATGTTAAACATAATTTAACAGCTAACTGAAATAACACAATCTTTAGTAAAATAAATTTTTAACTAAGTAAGGCCCATTACATATGACAACTGATGTAAATAAAACTCATGTATCTCTAAGGCATATTCAAGTAACACAGAAGGACATTAATCTATAAAAATAAAAAGGTGTCCCTCTTTGCAGACGATGTGAAGCTAATGCAAAGAATTCAACTGGATAAGGATCAGACAGGACTACAAAGGGATTTGGACAGGCTGCAAGCCTAGTCCAGTGACTGGCTCTTGGAGTTTAACCCCACCCAGTACAAATTCATGAAGACTGGGGAAGGTCAAAGAAGACTGCAGACAGAGTACAGGCTAGGGAGGCCAAAGATTACAAACCTCGCTCAAGGAAAAGTATCTTGGGGTGAATATAATACTAAGAACAACTCTTGAGGCGCACATCAACCAAATAACTGGTGAAGCATATGGTTGCCTGACAAACCTAAGAATAGCATTTCAACACCTGAGTAAGGAATCATTCAAGACTCTGTACACTATGTATGTCAGGCCCATACTGGAGTATGCAACACCAGTATGGAACCCACACCTGGTCAAGCACGTCAAGAAATTAGAGAAAGTGCAAAGGTTTGTAACAAGACTAGCCCCGGAGATAAGGGGTATGTCCTACAAGGAGAGGTTAAGGGGAATCAACCTGACAACACTGGAGGGCAAGAGGGATAGGGAAGACATGATAACAACATATAAAATACTGAGAGGAATTGACAGGGGTGGATAGGGACAGGATGTTTTAGAGATGGGGGACAGCAACAAGGGGCCACAACTGGAAGCTGAAGACTCAGACAATTCACAGGGATGTTATAAAGTATTTCTTCAGACACAGAGTTGTCAGGAAGTGGAACAATTTGGAGAGTGATGTAATGGATGCAGGATCTGTACATAGCTTTAAGAAGAGATGCAACAAAGCTCATGGAACAGGGAGAGAGTAGACCTAGTAGTGACCAGCGAAGAAGTGGGACCAGGATCTATGACTTGATCCCTGCAACCACAAATAGGTGAGTACAGACACGCAATGGAGGACAGACAAACAGGAGAAATGATAATAACGTATCAAATACATGGGGACACAGCAAGAAGTTAAAGACAAAGATGAGCTACAGGGATGTCAAGAAATATTTCTTTAGTTTCAGGGTGGTTGGGAAATGGAATGACCTCAACTATAAAGTAGTGAAGGCAGACTTCATACATAGCTTTAAGAATGGGTACAATGGTGCCCAAGCAGTAAGGTAAGACAGAGCCAAGAGCTACAATTCAACCTCTGCAACCATATACAGTTGTGAGCACATGTGTACGCATGTATGCACACACGCATGCATGTATGCGCACGCATGTATGCATATGCATGCATGCACGCACACACACACACACACCACACACGCGCGCACGCACGTGCACACACACACACACGTACACACCACACACACATACACACACACACACACACACATACACACACACACACACATACACCCACACACACATACACACACACACACACACACACACACACACACACACACACACACACACACACACACACATTCACACACACGCACACACACACGCGCACACACACACACACACACACACACACACACACACACACACACACACACACACCGAGCATGTCTCCGGAAGCACACATCAATCAGATAACTGCTGCAGCATATGGGCGCCTGGCAAACCTGAGAACAGCATTCCGATACCTTAGTAAGGAATCATTCAAGACACTGTACACCGTGTATGTCAGGCCCATACTGGAGTATGCAGCACCTGTTTGGAACCCGCACTTGATAAAAGCACGTCAAGAAACTAGAGAAAGTACAAAGGTTTGCGACAAGGTTAGTTCCAGAGCTAAGGGGAATGTCCTATGAGGAAAGATTAAGGGAAATCGGCCTGACCACACTGGAGGACAGGAGGGTCAGGGGAGACATGATAACGACATATAAAATACTGCGTGGAATAGACAAGGTGGACAAAGACAGGATGTTCCAGGGAGGGGACACAGAAACAAGAGGCCACAATTGGAAGTTGAAGACACAAATGAGTCAGAGAGATAGTAGGAAGTATTTCTTCAGTCATAGAGTTGTAAGGCAGTGGAATAGCCTAGAAAATGACGTAGTGGAGGCAGGAACCATACACAGTTTTAAGACGAGGTTTGATAAAGCTCATGGAGCGGGGAGAGAGAGGGCCTAGTAGCAACCGGTGAAGAGGCGGGGCCAGGAGCTAGGACTCGACCCCTGCAACCACAAATAGGTGAGTACAAATAGGTGAGTACACACACCTACACACCTACAACAGGCCTAGTGCCTAATCGACATGTGCCTAGGACAAAATGGTAACTAACTAACTAACACACACACAGGTGAGTACACAGTATACAACAATGTTCATACAAACATGTCACACTGGTTAAATTCTTCCTAAACAATATACTGTATATCTTGTTTACTTTAAGGAGCTCATTTTATACAGTATAAAATAACATAAGAAAAGCAAAAAGGTGAAAAGATTACCTTCTCTGTTCCATGTCAAGCTCATCTTTACGGTTGGCCAAAGCAAACACACGCAACTTGCATCCAGACCACTGTGACCTTGTGGTAAGAATATATGGCACCAGCAGAGTTAAACCACCATCGTCATACAGCCACCATACATCAATTGTGCCCTGAAGTGTACATTAAGCATTGTAATTGACATTCTAGTCTATCCAAATACTGTAGATCCTTCACTGACAACATTAATGTATTCCTGAAATTTTTTGGAAAGTCAAGTGTTCAGAACTCTAGACCTATTTTCCTTAAGACATCATTAATATTTTTAACTAAGAATATTTATCCTATGTTTTACATTCAGTACTGTTCCTTTTCACTAACAAATAGTCTTGAACAATTAGGTTGTGATATATATGTAGGCCACCAGGCATAATTAGTGGCTTTCTTTTGTGCATACTATTGTACCGATACTTTTAACTACATTTTTCTGAATGGCTTACAGAAATAAGCTATTATTATTATTATTTCAACAAACTGGTCGTATCCCACCGAGGCAGGGTGGCCCAAAAAGAAAAATGAAATTTTATCTTTTTAACTTTAGCAATGTATATAGGAGAAAGGGCTACTAGCCCTTTGCTCCCAGCATGTTAAGTAACCTCCTACGACACGCATGGCTTACGGAGGAAGAATTCTGTTCCACTTCCCCATAGAGGTAAGAGGAAATAAACAAGAACTAGTAAGAAAATAGAAGTAAACCTAGAGGGGTGTGTATATATATGCTTGTACATGCATAAGTAGTGTGACCTAAGTGTAAGTGGAAGTAGCAAGATGTACCTGAAATCTTTTATGTATATGAGACAGAAAAAAAGACATCAGCACTCCTATCATTATGTAAAACAATTACAAGGTTCCATTTTACACTCACTTGGCAGGACGGTAACACCTCCCTGGGTGATTGCTGTCTACCAACCTACTACCTAGGATTAGTATTATTATTAACCCCTTCGGTGTTGGTCCCGTAAAATTATGGCTTTGAAGCCAGTGTCGATCCCATAAAACAACACCAAAATTCTAGTGGCTTCAAATCTTGCAGGAGAGAGCTGGTAAGCCTACACATGAAAGAATGGGTCTGCATGGTCAGTGTGTGCAGTATAAAAAAATCCTGCAGTAAACAGTGCATAATGAGAAAAAAATTGTAACCAAGTTTCTGGTTTAAAACATTGACTTTGCAATATATTTTTGTATGGTATTTATGGTTGTATTCTCATTTTCTTGGTCTCTTTTGACAGAATGGAAAATATATTACAGAAATGGAGGTGATTTTGAATGGTTTACTGTTGCACCTCAACTACTTTTCCCCTATTGGTACCCTTTATTTCCTTTAATATTACATTGCATTCATTTCCTTTAGTAGCTAAACTGGAAATGAATGTTCTTGTATTATTAAGATTATTTGTTTGTATATTTATATTTTATGTGACCACAATCGGTTAAGTTCTAGTGTGTTATGTCGCTTTATGTTACTGGTCTGTGTACCGGAGGAAGATAAAGATAAGGAGTCAAACCTCCAAAAGTATCACTAATAAACCCTGTTTGCTTGTTATACACCCACCTCTTTTGTGTCAAGAAGGTGGTGGTAAAAGTAACGTGACCTACCTAACCTTCACGCTCGCAGTAAACCTTGAGTCAATGTGCAGATACCAGCCAACAAGTCAACACTCCTGCTCTGGTCTTATAAACTGATTGTTGTTGGTTTTCTTCAATTTGTATATTCTCATAAATTGTATAACTATCTGACTGATCTAGTATTAAGACTAGATATTTTACTCTGAAGGAGTATCTGTATATACCTCATATCCTACAGATTTAATATCTCTCTGTATACATGCATTCGAAGGCATAGTCTTGGAAACTTTGTGAAGTAGACCCTACAGTAAGCATTCTTTACAAAGATACTGTATAACGGGATAATCTTACATGCCTTAATTTTTATATTACATATACCACTACTTTACTAAATTTAAAAAGAGAAACTTTTGCTTTTCTTTTTGGGACACCTTGCCTTGGTGGGATACGGCTGGTTTGTTGAAAAAAAAAAAAATACCACTACTTCATTAAAATAAGTTTTATTTGAAGATTATTATTATCCCAAATTCTCTGTCTAAAACCGTTATGCTCTGAACAGAAAGAAAGGATATACTTATGGTCATATATAGACCTGGGAGCTTAACATTTAATAACTAAAAGTAGCCTGAAATTGAGCTCAAAGTAGCAGAAATGTTTGATTTTTGCTGCTGTTCAAGAGTAAACAAATCACAGTCATGTGTCCAATACACCTATGCAGTAGTCTGAATAACAGTAAATCACACAGAATTCTTCAACACTTGTCCAACCTTTGGACGAAGACCTACTTCGACTAGTGGATGGTACCACTATGACCTCACCTCCTCCTGCTTCGCCTCACCTCACTACAGTACATAAGCCACGTCTACGGCCCTATGCTGTACATTCTACAAGATTGATGGACTGAACACATCGACTCCAGGCTGAGGGACTGATTACCTCTAACTCCTCCTCTCCTTATGCCTTTCTACTTTGTATTGGACTGATGAAGCCACTGTGTGGTGAAACGTTTCCTGAATAAAGATTCCCATATGTTGCATAAGTGTCTCAATCTTCAACTTACCTATAAGGTTTACACAATTGAGGATATTAAAATGATCCTTCCAAAACTCCTTTAGAGTCAATAGAGTATCTGTGGTCACTTCAAAGCACCTTTCAAACATAGCTTTTGTGTACAGTTTCTTTAAGTTGGAAATGACCTGCTGGTCCATGGGCTGCAGGAGAGGAGTGGTATTAGGAGGCAAAAACTTGACCTTAATGAAGCTCATGTCCCCAGAAAGTCGCTCTGCCAAGTCTGTAGGATGACCAGGGGCACTGTCTAACACCAGTAGGCACTTAAGGTCTAATTTCTTTTCAATTAGGTAATTTTTCACATTGGGGGCAAATGCATGGTGTAACCAGTCATAGAAAAAGTCCCTAGTGACCCATACCTTAGTGTTTGCCCTCCACAGCACACACAAATTAGCCTTGAGGATATTCTTTTGCCTGAACGCTCTGGGAGTTTCTGAGTGATACACCAATAAAGGCTTCACTTTGCAATCACCACTAGCATTGGCACACATCAGAAGAGTAAGCCTGTCTTTCATAGGCTTATGTCCTGGGAGTGCCTTTTCCTCCTGAGTAATGTAAGTCTTGCTTGGCAATTTCTTCCAAAACAGGCCTGTTTTATCACAATTAAACACTTGTTCAGGTTTCAATCCTTCAGCCTCTATGTACTCCTTGAATTCATGCACATATTTTTCAGCTTTTTTTTGGTCTGAACTGGCAGCCTCACCATGCCTAATCACACTATGTATGCCACTACGATTCTTAAATCTTTCAAACCAACCTTTGCTGGCCTTAAATTCACTCACATCACCACTAGTTGCAGGCATTTTTCTAATTAAATCCTCATGCAACTGCCTAGCCTCTTCACAAATAATCGCTTGAGAGATGCTATCTCCTGCTATCTGTTTTTCATTTATCCACACCAATAACAGTCTCTCAACATTTTCTACCACTTGAAATCTCTGTTTTGTAATCACAGTTGCGCCTTTCGCAAGAACAGCTTCCTTGATTGCCGTTTTCCTGCTCACTATAGTAGAGATGGTTGACTGGGATTTACTATACAACTTGGCCAGATCCGACACATGCACTCCACTTTCATACTTTGCAATTATCTCTTTCTTCATTTCAATAGTCATTAGCACCCTTGGTCTCGATGGGTTGGCACTAGAAGCTTTCTTGGGGCCCATGGTGACTTATTTTGCAGAAACAAGCACCAAAAACCAGTTATAATATGGATAATATGAATGTACCGAATGTATCCTTAGATGCGCGCACACTGGCTGGCTTGTAAACACTGGCATACACGGGGCAGTTCAGGCCACATGTGGACACGTCTCATACGAATCGTATTGCATACCAGGTTTTGTAACGGGAACCGAGGCAAATTTTTTGCGATATAATGCTTCGGATACCGGATTTATCGGATACTAATGACTTCGCGAACCGGGGGTCCACTGTATTAAGTAATTATAAAGTCAAGTTTTAGTTTGACCAGATTCCTTTGCATAACTAAGGGTCTTCCATGTAAGAAATAACTAATGTCCCAGCACGATAGTGGCTTTCTTTATACTTAACTAATCAAAATTGCAAATACACATTGTAACCTTGCAAAGAAATAAAATCTTTTATCTTTAACTCTTAAACTGTCCAAACGTAGATCTACGTTGACGTGCGTAGCGCTCTGACCTTGATTTTCTCCATTTGAAAGCATGTAAAATCGGACGCAGATCTACGTTGGGAGCACTACGCATGTCAACACAGATATACGTTTAGACGGTTTAAGGGTTAATCTTTTAATCTCTAACACAAGTGTTATAAAATTGAGGAAATTTTTTTTATTTAAAATAATGAACACTTGATAAAGTGGATGTAAATAAGTTTGGGTTATCCCACATACATAAAAATCTGAATGCAAGCAAATTAGACACCTCGATCATGTAAATCATAAGAAAAAGGGCTCTTACCTTCTTTTGTTTCCTCTTAAACATAGTAATATTGTTTAAGACATCTTTGCTTAACTCAACACCTCCTGGACCTCTGAACAAGTTAGCAATTGAAGCACGACGCTTCTGCCCATCATCTGGACGTGGAAGCTCAGACACAACTGCTCGTTCAACTTCTGGTGAGCCAGGTGGGGTTGATGCTTCACTGTCGGTACCATCTGCAAATATTACAACAAGTTGCAACACTGTTTTCCAAGACTTTATGGTGGCCAACATAACTATAGTACTGCACTGCAATTTGGCAAAAAGAGCACATCATTATATAAATACCTTTCAAAATTGACACGCTGATAAATGAGACACTCGTGGAACACTTAGGAAATTTATCAGCTCAGAAAAATACTGAAATATCCAAAGAAGGTTGAGGTAATCAGTCCCTCAGCCTGGAGATGATGCATTCAGCACATCAGTGTTGAAAAAAGTACAGCATATGCACATAGAAAGACTTTTATACTGGAGACAAGTGAGGCAAAGCAGTTGAAGGCGGTGTCACTGGTCGACAAAATCCACGCTGGAATGATGAAGCTGCTGGCTGGGTAAATGTTTCCACAATAAAGATTTCCAAGTGTTGCACAAGTGTCTCATTCATCAAAATAGGGCACCGATTAGATAGCTCTATAACAACACTGAACCATTTAAAAGGGGTACACGACTTGAAGCAAAACTTCAAAAGTGGTTATGAAAGTACAGTATTTTAAGTTACTAAACATAGAATATGTAATATACAGTGGTACCTCGAATTTTGGCCTTAATTCGTTCCAGAAGGCTGTTCGAGTGCCACTACTGAATGAATCTGTTCCAATAAGGAATAATGTAAATTAGATTAGTCCATTTCAGACCCCAAAAAAATACACATACAAAAATATACTTACATAATTGTTCGAAATTCGAAGTACCACTGTAATTGCTAAAACCTAATGTACAAAATTTTATAGAAATTATACAACCATAATCTTCATTGCAAAAAAAGATTAATTTAAGAAATGCTAACTTTTATTACCGTATATATAACCATTATTGCTCTTCAAAGCTAGCACACTAGATAACCTGTTTCTTACTGAAGCACCTATATATGAACTCTACATCACTTTGGCAAAACTCACCATATTCCATACATGTCAAAATTGCAAATTAACTGCATACTATTTTCAATGCTAAGGTTTTTTCCCACTTTCTTTCAACCTTCTTCCCTTCAGGTATATACTGAGCAGGTGGAAATATAGTCTTAGAATGGTTAGTGTAATCATTACATGCATGTAAGGAAAGGTACCTAAGGATTAACAGTGCATACCTAGTTCCTTTGTACAAGAAGAACAAAAAATGTAAAAATTATAGGGGAATAAGTATTGAAGATATTGGATAATGTGTACAGTAGAATTATTACTGAAAGAGTTAGAGGTAAGATAGAAAGTAGGAATGCAAAGGTAAGGGATGTGTAGACCAAGTATTTACACTGAAGCATATCAGTAAATAATAAATACTCAGCTAAGAGTAAAGAATGCATGGAATAATTAGTAGATTATTAAAAGTAATAAAGAGTTTTTATGAGGGGTAAGGCTGAGGTAAAAGTATACAGGAGAGAGGGGAAACATTTTACAGTAAAATCTTGTTTCTAAAATGTTTCAGGTTATGAAATTTTGTGACAAATTAAATACTGTAGACAAGTACAGATATACTTCTGTAGCTGCAAGTAGTTATATGTACAGTACTCATCAAACTAGCTTAAACCAAATTAAAAACAAACCCTGCTTTCTCAGTTCATTATGATAATCCTGAGCATGTCTCCTTACATATGAAGCCAAAGTAAATAGGTATCTAGGAGTCGGTTGACTGTTGTGGGTTGATCCTAGAGAAGAGGATCCAAGGACTCCAGTGAAAACTACACTGTTTGCTCTTATTGGGCTATTAATTCTCCAGGATTAATAATCCAAAGAGACTCTCCTGCTACTCCACTAATGTACGTACTCCAAATCTGATTCAGCCTAAATCTTATAATCACAAGAGTCCATGCTTTATCCTCTGTGCAATCAATCATTAGTCATCTACAATATAACCATTGCTTACCATATATGTGATTATTTTATGACATATACCATCTCAATAACCTTATATCATGTACACTTATTTTAATCCAATTTTCTTGCGAACAAACAAAATCATGCTGTATATGTGTCTGTGCTAGGTAAACTACATTTTGGCTAATTACTATGGGTTGCAATTTGCTAACAATAATGTTTTAATACCTATACCTCATGAATAACAAAATTTACGTATGAACTACAACACCAAATTAACAAAAAGAACTAAAAATACATAAGTTTAATTTTTTATTTAATTTACTGAATCAGCATGTAGTAAGCTAATGAAAAGTAGGAGGAAACAGCAATACTGAGAAGCAGTGTGCACATCAGCTATGAGTGTGTGCACATCAGCTATGAAAGTGTGTACATCAGGTGAAAGAATGTGCACATCAGCTTTGAGAGTGTATCACTGGAAAGCAGCCAATGTGTACAATACCACCTACTAATGCATCTTGAAAGAAGGCAAACATTTAATACTTTCCAAATACCTTGACCTGTTTGGCGTATTTTCTTCCTCCTA